GCTGCACCTGCGTGAAACTTTGGGCTGTAGCAGTAGGAACAATTCTAAAGCTACAATGGATTAGATGGCATCTTTGGACTGACAGAATGGCTGATATAGACCCTTCATAAACATTTAAATCAAGTACATTGATAAATGCAGAAATAAAGCTGATGAGTACCAGAGGCCCTATAATATAACCAGACAGCAACATTTCAGCTACTCTGAGTAGGTGTTCTCTACCTCAGACATGATGACTTGTAGTGGTAGTGTAGACTACCATTGGCAGTGTACCCGAAAAAAATCAAGAGACAGGTCATCTTCATTGCATTCAGTTTTCCTAGAAAGCTTTGGAAAGAAACTGGGAGGCAGCAAACACAGTAATTCCCATACCCCAGGAACATTTTGTGCTTTTGTCACAAATACCACAAGTTTGACAAAGCCAGAAAAGGGCAATGGAAGAGGGGGAAGTGAAAGGGAAGGAAATATTCATGTGTCTGCATTAGTCCTCCTCCTACCACTTTCAGGAGAGTCTTGCAAAGCGCTCTAAGCCAAGCAAGTTTGTCCATCCCGTCAGCACTGGAAGCCTTTCCTCAGAGTACTCCGGTCACTTCCACAGCCCTGCTTACATTGAGAATGCAGATCCAGGGTTTGTTGTGAGGAGGCTTTTCTTGCGTTAGTGAAGCGCAGGTTTTCAGACTTGCAAGGAGGGATGCAAGAGACCCTATTCAGAGTCACTACTTTTTTTTTTTTGTTCCTTTCATACTTATTTTTGAACCTGTGCAGCAGGGCATCGGCTGCTCCAACCTCTTTCCTTCTTCTGCCAGCCTTTCATGCCCTCCTATTTCACATTCACCTGCAGTGTCTGTATGACTCTACTTCAGACTTTGTTTGGGCTGGCAGTCCGACGCTATTTGTCCAAGCGCATCTTCACAGATGCAGTCGTGGCAGTTTTATCTGCCTCTTAGTCCAGGGCTAGGAGTCAGTGTCCTCACTATGCTGTTTGCTCTGTCAGAATTTGGGTATTACATCTTTCCCTTTGGATTGCACCTGGATATAAAGAAGGCTGGACTTTTCACAGCTCCTTTATGGTCTAACCTAAATGCAATTTCTTTGGTGACTGAAAGGATGACACTCTATTACAGGGAGACACCAATTTGCTACCCATATCAATGAAGGCAAGGATATTGCCTTTCCATAACTGTCCTCCTAATCCTTGAAGTCTCTCCCAACCCAAATTCCTGCTAAATTCCTAGGAATGCAAGAAATCTAGGGCTGCAGTTTACACTAATTGCCAATCCAATCTGTGTTTGAATAATGTAATCTTAGTTGTATAAATATTGAAACTAGCACTCTACATTTCTGTTTGCATTATTTCCGGCAATTAATCCTTCAAGAAGCCGAGGGGTTCACACGTGAGAAGTGCTGCTAGCTTGAGTAACCTTATTGTGATGCTTTCTTATTACAAATACTTATGTGGCTATCAAGAAAAAACAGTTGCAGCTAAAGACTACATCCACTATTTAGTTATCTTTTAACTTTTTAATTGTCTTCTATTTGTGGCACAATTGCTAGCAAGGAAACTGCCTCTTCATATATTATTTGAGATACCTGTCTATATTTGAAGGTAGGGCCTGTGTAAAAATGTTTTGAATAATGACCTTTGGGGTACAGCAGCACTACACAAATCTTACTGTCAATAGAGCTTGTAGCAAGAAAAACAACTGAGAGAGCGCATTAGCAGTCCAAAGCGCATACTGTTAGTTCCACAACAAAATACTTATTGAGCTGACAAACCCTGGGCAAGGTTTGCCTTGCTGCAGTATAAGTGAGCGTAGCTTCTCATTCTCAATTTTTTGAATACTATTTACCGTTGAACGTCTAATCAAAAATATAAAGTGGACTTACTGATAAAAATTAGTTCAAATCTTAGCGCTTACGCACCCCCGATTTTCCTCTTCTCGGAGTCGTTGCTTTATGCTGTTCAGCATCCATTTTCTACTATGTACGGTGTTCAGCATCTGAAGGAATTAGGAAGAGAAAACACTTAGAAAAAGAGAGTGCTTTAATTACTTTCTAAAAACAAAACTACTACTCTAAATGTAAAAGTGTAAAAAAATCCAAAATGCAAAAAGCCCAAACAAACCAAACTGAAAACCTCCGGTGGGAATAATTTGAGACCTAGAATGCCAATGCTTAAGACTACCCTTTCATAGTCTTGCTCTTGCTCTGTGTTCGTCCCAGGTAAAAGCAGAGTTCCTAGCCCTGTTTTCACAAAGGATGTGCCATCAGGTCCAGCAGCCAATTCTCTGGGAGCCTGAAGTCCTACCATCAATATTCTTGACTAATTTTGCACCTTCTAATACAAAACAAACCACTTATTTTCATTAACATGAAGCCTGCATAAATCCTTGTAGGAATCTGTGTTGAATGTGATCCACGTGAGAAATGCAGATCTTTCTTTGTACATTTTGACTGACCTAAAAAGATGTACATGAGAACCAAATTTTAAAAAGCTATTTAGGCACCAAACTCTCACAGACTTTGCTGTGAACCTCCATACAAATACTTTTGAGAATCTCAGTCTTGCCTTTGTGACAATCCAACCTGAAGTTTAGATGCACCTAAGCTTCGAAGCAACTATTGTGCTGAAATATTATTTTGCGTACCAACATCTATCACAATAAGATTTGCTTCAGTACCAACAAGATATACAACTTATAATAGGAAGCCTCTTTGGCCAACTAAATATCATGTATTTGTCTTCTGTAAGCTTTTGGGCAGCTGCCTTAAGCACCTCTATTAGTCAATGGAGAAAGCTGGGAACTTACAGTGGGCCCTTCAGTTATTAAATGGGTTGAGTTACCCTCATTTTTAGGAGGAGGATAGCCCCCAAGTAAATGAAGTTTTGTTTTGTACTGCAGAGATGAAAGTAACATTCATATGGAAGCATAAATAATAATTGTAACACTGATCACAGTGGTTTTCAGCTATGATCTTACAGACCCCAAGGCATCTGTGGACCCGTTGGGAGTTTCTGAATGGTAATTAAGAATAGCAACCCTTCAACAGATTTGGTGTTGTTGTATTTATACAGGGATCCGTGCATTTAGCAGAAAATTATTGGGGTATATAAACAGAAAATTGCTGAAAACCACTGATGTAGGACAGAGAGCTGCAGCATCAGCTGAACAATATTGGCAGTTGAAGAAACATGCCCAAATATGATGCAGACAAGCATATTCCTTCAAATCTCGGAATGACAAGGCATTTTGTAGGCATGTCTAGAGGGCATAGTGATCTTACACCACTTCCTTCTGGAAGCTCTATTTGCTATGATTACATTTTCACAGGGCTAACTGAAGCTGCGTTTCCCCTAAAACCAAATTTTCCTAAAAGAGGTTTATGCTTCTGAATCAACGCTTCCATTCTCCTGTCTCCGAGAGACAACCGGCACGTTTTAAGCGTCATGCTACAGTCCTCCGTAGGACCGTCTTCAGCAGTTGAGCGCTCAGTAGGCCAAGAGCGAAACCTCTCCAGAAGGTCTTCATGGAGCTCCTTCGGTGCGCTCTGGAGGCAATGAACACATTGCCACTGACCTTAATGCAAACGGACATTGGGCAGAAAGCCATGTGAAGAGGCAGACGCCGCTCAACCAGAAGGCCGCAACCAGTAAAATCAACAGGAACATTTAAACAAAACGTTGCAGGAGGATGTGTTTTGAGGCCATACCGGCGAGAGGGGATTGCCGATTTGCCTGTATTTACTGCCCAACAGCAGTCTGAGATATATCTCACTTTCTTTAAGCTGGATTCATTCAGATGTATTCATAATTATCCTGCCTGACGCTCTAGTAACTAGCTAAAGGAAATGTTTTACATCAGAAACTTTGTAGACAGCTCTGTAAGGAGAGCTATGCAAGCGACTGATTTTTGGAGTCACTGGATGAACCCAAGGAATGAGAAGATTCTGATTTCTCATAAAAGGATTTTTTTCCCTGAAAATGAAAACCTACACAAGAGAAAAACCCAATATTTAATTTAACCTGACTTGAAAATTTTGCTTATGTGGCATTTTGGTTTTTAATCTTTGTAATAAAAACACAGGTAGCTTTACAAGCAAAAACAACCCTGGCACAAACCCTGGAACTGTTAATTTTTAAATGTTAAATTTTTAAATTTAAAACAAACACAAGTTTCTAAATACGTTTTCCCCGCACAGGCTGTACACGCCAAGCCTACGTTAACTGAATTCAGGCCGAATTTAGCCAAAAGGCTCGGTGGGAGCAAAACCGCTTCTTGCGGAGAGCGAGGGAAAGGGGCGCTCTCGGAGGCCCCCCGTTACCTCGGCCTAGGACAAACGCCGCCACACCGCAGCTCGGACCCAC